ATTTCTACTTCCAATCGACTACCCTAATGCGTTTGCCTCCAAGTACTCATATGCCTAAATTGCTCATCTCACGTCCTCCTTGCCTACCTCGTCTCCTCACCCCCTCAATTGTGACACTATCCACTCTGCTAACAGGAGCTGCATGTGGTCTAAAATGAACATGCCCAAACCACCTAAACCTTATCTCTCTCAACGTATGGCACGGCTACACTTGGATATGTTAATTTGAACACATTAGGTATACCCAAAATCCTACAAATCAACCAGTCCACACACAAATGCACAACTTACAAGGCTGTACACAACTAAAGCTAAACCACATAAAAGAAACCAGAGGAAAACAATAAGCACTACCAAATGTACATGCGTAATGCATTTTAGTCATTAAGATGATCCAACTAGCAGTACAGAAGCAATTGTTGATATTCAGTATGTTAAATGCAATAACAATCACCTTTCTTCATCACTGTTGATATCCACATCAGCATCATCAGCATCTGCACTGCGTGGAACAATGCGGTCTTCGAGGTCCCTCCCCAACCCTGTAAATGATACCATCAACACTTTAGGCTATGAACTGTAAACATCAGTCATGGAAAAAATAATAAACAGTATCAAGTTACTAGGTGAGTTTTAACCTTCCAATAGATGATGTCCTCCCTTTCTACGGTCTCTGTCCTCTGCAATCGTAGACAAATAGCATTAAACTACTTGCAGAAAACATCTGTGTAATCACAAGTAAAGACGTGTGACCTTACCACCATAGCCCTTGTCTTTGGATGAAAAGTGCCTCCGCTCACGCTCTTCCAACTCCTCCTTGAGGTCCCTCCTTTGTACTTCATCCTGGGTATCTTGACCCTCCTTTCTGTAGCATCAGCCATCAAGTAGCATTAAATGATTGAAGCAAAATATCATTCCTAGAACAAGACTCCAGGCTTTCTATGGCGTATCAGTTTTGCCATGGCATTAACAGGATTGATACAATAAGTCAAATAAAAAACACAAGGAAAATAATATCAGGGATGTTCCATAAACTTGTTCATCTGTTTTGAAGCAAAATGTCATTTTCAGAGTAATGCCCAGGTTTCTAAGCATATTAACTCGACACTAGCATCCACGCCCTCTATACTAAGGTCTAGGACGAACATGTGTAGGTTCTCTGGAAACACAAATAAAAGTGGTTGTCAATAATCTAATCAGGACCCTGAAATCCACACATCCTACAGGGAGTAGAATCCTGCAAGTTACTTGTCATTAGTTAGTTTGATTCACTGCTACAAGGTAAACATATCAAATTCCTGGAGGAGTTCCATACATACTAATTATAATAAATTGCAGTTCCCTAAGGTCTCTGATAACAAGTCACCAACAAAGCACACAACCATTTGATTAGGAATTTATACCCAACTGTCACCATGGGGACATATCTACCAAGTTGGGGATCATGGAGGTTTTGTTAGTACATTTTTGGTACTCACTGTTCCAAACTTGAACTGAACAAAAGTATTACTTGAAACAACCTGGTGTATCTAAGAATGCTAGGTAAGAGCAGTCGGCAAGTGGACAACTCAAAAAGATAAGATCATCTACGTCATGCTCAAGACAATAGGAACTGGAAAAAACAAAGAATGTTCCATCGCTCACACTCAAGCTTGGGAAAAAGAGCGAAACAACTAATACAATTAGATTTTCTGTCAAACTAAGTGAGAGTTTTCAAAGAGATTACATAATTCAAAGTAAACCACAACAGAAAACAGTTAACAAAATCAATCTGCATACAGTTTTCTAAAAGATTACATGGAGAAATATCTACCAAGTTGAGGTTCAAGGAGGTTTTGGTTAGTACATTTTTGGTACTCAATGTTCCAAACTAAACTGAATAAAAGAATTACTTGAAACAACCTGGGGTATCTTAGAATGCCAAGTAAGAGCATTGGACAAGGGGACAACTCAAAAATATAAGATCATGTATGCCATGTTCAAGACAATATGAACTAAAACAAGAATATTCATCGCTCACAATCAAGCTTGAGAAAAAAGAAGAAACAACTAACTGCAAGTACTAACAGAGTTTTCTGATAGATTACATAGTTTCAAAGTAAACCAACAGGAAATAGTTATCAAAATCCATCTATATACAGGTTTCTAAGAGATTACATAACTTTGGAGTAAACCAACATTTTGGTGCAACAGGAAATGCTTATCAAAATCCATCTGTATACCTTGATGGTCATATGAAACATGGAAACAACGTCATACTTTTAACATAGATGCAGAGATGCATCCATGAAAAAGCATGTTCCTATTCTCCATATTCGAGGTAGTTCCAAAATCTTGCAGTGTGCTTAAGATCCTATAAACTGCTTGTCGACCATGGAAAAGTAGCATCTCCTCATGTTGTAGCTAGAAGAAAAGTGAGTAGATAGATTTGAACAAGAGCAGCCTTCTTACCAATAATTTTTGGTTATCCTATCTAAGATGCGCTATTCTATCCCGCTCCAATAATTTTATTCCCGTGTATAGTGACACTGATATTTTCATGTCCATCCACCACAAAAACTGACCCCTTGGTACATAATACTCCCTCTATCCTACAGATACTGCAAGCTTTGACAAGCCGGTTTCTTTAAAAATGTCGGAAATCCTTGCAGAACTGGCATCAAGTTCCCAGATCAGAACCCTGATTCATGGGGTTAACATGATACGAACAGGTCAGTCTTGACCGATTCAAAGTACTCATTATCTACCGTTAGACTTTGAATAATTACACCAAACAAAAAGGGGGGATGGGAATAGGCTACAAGCAGAGCTAGTTTTGTGCAAGGGTTCGACTTACTTTAGTTTGTTTCTGTTTTCCCTGTACAGCTCTATCTATATATAAAATAGGTAACTTTTCATGAATAAAGTATTGGATCAATTTTGATCGAGTAAAACGGAGTGTAAAAGTGAGAGTTTCCAAACCAATTTAACGAAGTTCTTACCTGGGCTTCAGGGTTGTATGAGCAGCGATATCCCTCGAGGAATACTTCTGAGACGGGCCAAAAATACGAGCCCCACCTTGTTCATTACCACCTTTAGCAGGTGCCCACGTCGGTCTGGCAGCCGTCGTCATGTCTTCTCACCCTTTATATTGAACCCTAAACCAATTTCCGGTTGAACTAAAAGACGAAATACAGGAATTGAAACGTATTGAGATCTTGATTCAAGTAAACAGAACGAATTAAAGACCTAGGGTTTTACCTTGCAACGACGATGATGGGTGCGCTTTGATCTAAAAAAGAGATACGCTTTAATGCCTTGAGAGCCCCTCGCCCCCCTTTAAGTTAGTTCCACTTAGTCCAATATTAGGCCACACCAAACACGGGACAAATGTGTTCTGTCCTGTCCTGTTCCACCCTGTCCAGCGTACCAAACGCACCCTAATGGAAGATAGAAGGTTTCCCCCAAAGTTTTAGTAGTTGCCAAGATTTGTAAATAAAATTACGGGTTAAATTCATGAATAATAATCTTTTTCTTTTTTTATTATAGAATTGTAATTTGTAAAATCCATCAATTATAGCTTTAGGGAGTGTCTGGTTAGAGGTATTAAACAATGATTGACGAAATTGAATATAAATGATACTGTTTGTTTTTTTTTATATTATATTATAAAGCATTTGACAAAAACTATTTAAAACCATTTTTTATGCATGAGGTATTGTATATTTATGCATATTGCTTAAAATTCAATATTACAAGTAATTTTACGTAAGTACGGTTTATTAAAGCTCCATTTTTAAATTCGTGTAACTAACTGCAGATAAACATAATCAAATACGGAATAAACATATAGAAAATCTAAAATATAATTAAGATTATCATTTAGTTATAAAAGAATATTTAATTATTATTTTTATAAAAAAAATTATACTATTAAATCAAAAATAAATTATTTTGTTATTAAATCTAATCTATATCAATACTATATTATAATGCATTAGACAAAAACTCTTAAAATAATTTTTATGTATGAAGTATTGTTTATTGATGCATATTACTTAATATGCAAGATTACAAGTAATTTCACGTGAGTATAACTTATTAAAGCTCCATTTTTAAATCTGTATTACTAATTGTAGATAAACATAATTAAATACAAGATAAATATTCATTTTAAATATAAAAAATCTAAAATATAATAAATATAATCATTGAGTTCTAACTCTAACATAATGTTTAATTATTATCTTTATAACAAATTATATTATTAAATCAAAAA